TCTGTTATTCTGTTATATATTGGTCTTATTGGCACACTCTTTCTCTGTTTTTGAATTAAATGCAGTGGTGGTATTAAGCCAGTTTGCACTGGTTCATCTGAACCGGTGGCTACATTTTTCTGCAGTTCAGCAAACTGACTGATCACACCACTGGCTGGCCCCTCCCTTCACAGCCACTCCTTGCCTGGCCTGAGAAGGAAAGGCTAACGACACAGGAGGGAGACAAGCTACAGGGCCACTGTGCTTGTCCAAAGGGCTGCCTTGGGGGGTGGGGGGGACATGGCAATGCTCAGTCATCTTTTGGGCCCTCCTCGGGGCTCGGCAGTGGTTCGGCTTTTCTGGTTGGCCACGACCCCCAATCCTTGCCTGCCCTTCCCTTCCTCCTGCAGCTGGTGGCAGAGAGGAAGGTGAGCTAGGACTTCCCCACTGCCACTCACCCCCACCCCACCCCCCAGTCTGCATCTCATCCCCCACCCGGGCTCTCCGCAGCTGCTGGGCCTCACCTATTGTGGATTCCAGTGGCCACGGAATGGCCAGAGACTGCAAGGCTATACCACCCACATCAGCTCTCCGCCAGCATTGCCCCTCTGCCAGCTGGCCCCCACTCATGGGGCTCACACCGCTTTGATCACCATGGCTGCCTGTGAAAGTAAATTTGAATCCCACCACTGATTAAATGTGTGTGTGTATGTGGGGGTGCGTACGTGCACGCATGTCTGTGTTTGTGTGTATATTAGTATAAACTAGGAATAAATCAAGTGATAGTAGCAAAGTAAAACAAGAACAAAAGAAAAGAAACACTCAAAAGGATTTTAGAATTAATTGGCAGTATTTTTTATTCTCCTCCCTTGGATAGTAATAATTGGTCCTGGTTCCATGAATGCTTAACAAACAACAAAATGGGAAGTCCTTTAGCATTTTCTATTCTTTTGGGAGGGGAAAGCCCTTTTTTGTGCATTAGCTCATCAGACAGAATTTCCAACCTTGCCTCCAGAAAACTTCATATATATTTTTTAATTTTACTGAAATTTTACTGGCTTTGCAGCAGATTAAGAAAACTAACTACTTCTATTTTCAATGCCTCACTATGTAAATAAATAAAGGAGAGCAAAGAACATTTATAATTTTGAATGAAAATATATAATAAATAACACTGAAGATATCATATAAGTAATTAATAAGAAAATAAGTAATCACATATACAAATTGACTAGCAAAATAAATTTAGCCTCTCCAAAATATATCTGCAAATTTTCTGACTTCAAAAATTCTCTGATCTTTTAACATATAACCTATCAGCAAAATGTGACATTCAGACTATCGAGAGACCAACATGTTAAGTGAAGCTTGTCACAAATTTATATTTAGTTTATTCAAATCTATGGCTGCAAATAAACATCTTTACTTATCAACATGTAAAAGAGTGAAAAAAAGTATGTATATGTTTAACCCACTTATAAAATTGACATTTATTTAGCAACCCATGAAATACATTATGAGACTGTGATTGTTTTGCTTTCTGGGAAGGATGGTGGAATTCAATTCTGTACATTGTATCTCTAATCGATAGTTAAGTTGGAATACAGAAAAATGGTTAAAGTTTCCCATTTGTGTTGGGATAATTTACATTTTAAAAAAAAGAACATTTTTAGCCACAGGAAAGAAGCTCTTAACATAAATTTTCTAGAACATTCAGAAAGGGGAATGATAATTTCTGCCATGATTTTTTGACTGGATGTTTTAAAATCCCTGTTTGCAATTAAAAAATGTGTATAAAGTTGACCAAGAATAAATTACTCTGTACTTTATAGCCCAGTGGTGGGTTTCAATTTATTTTACTACTGGTTTGCTTATGCACCACTTCTGTGCATGCCTTGGGAAGAATGTGTTGGGAAGAGTTCAGGGCCACTGGCAGTAGCTAATCCTTGCTGGATTCAGCTATGACAGTGGAGCTTATTGCAATAAATTGCTAATCTAAATAATGCTATGTTTTCTATTCATGTTCAAAATTGTTCATGAAACAATAAACCTCTGATCATAAAGTAAGATTTATTGCTTGTGGTTGCTTGTGGTTTCCCTTTGTTTTTTATATAGGGAAATTTTTATGACAGATGGCATGCGCAGAAGTGTCTGGGCAGGTGGGCAGAGCCTCCCGCTGCTGCCACTACCATTTACCTGATCCGGGCTGAACCGGCAGAAACCCATCTCTGCTATAGTCATATACCATTTAGGCCTAAAATCCATTTTGTGAATTAGTAATTGCAGGAACATAATCACATTTAGTTAGGGCAAAATAATTGTAAAAGCAGATCATATGCAGATTATACTTCCTAGTCT